TAAAATATTCAAAAATTAAAAAGAATAAAAAAATTCTAAAAAATATTTTTATTAATTAATTTTGTAATTATTTTTATTTTTATATATTAAAAAATATTTATTATTATTAATCTAATATAATAATTATGTAAATAAAGATGTAATATAACAAAATTAATTATAATAATATCTGAATTATATATTAATTTCATTATTAGTTGATAATATTTTTTTCTTTTTTTGATATTTCTTATTTTTTTATTTTTTTATTGTTATCTTAATTGAATATATTAATTATATAATTTTCTTGATATATTTATTATTATTTATATTTGTTTAATTCTTACTATATATATATTCTATTTTTATTATTGATACTTTAATATAGAACAAAATTATTAATTATAATATAATTAGCTTTTTGTATAATTAGAAAAAATTAATAATTTTATAGTAATAATATAGATTTATTGTATTATATACTATATTATACTATATTATATTGTATTATATTATATATTATTATATTATATTATATTAATATAATATAAAAACATGTATAAATACAAGTGTTAATAATTATAAAACTCAAGTTTATTAGAATTAAGTTTAAGTTTATTTTAGTTTAATTATATTAATTTTTTTAATTTTGGAGTTAAAAATAATTTTGATTAAATTTTCTTTTGAATTAAGTCTTATTTTAAGTTTAATTTTATCATTTTCATTTTTATTTTATTATAAATATCATTTAGTTATTTAAAATAAATTTTTATAAATATAGCTCTTATTATTATTTTAAAATACTTTTATATACAAAAGCTCAAAATGATAACAATATTTAAATTTTAATTAAAATTTATTTCATAATTATAAAACAATAATTAATTAAAAAAAGATATAATTTGATTAAATTTTTAAATAAAAAATAATAAAAATTGAATTTTTTGATTTTACTATTTTTTATTTAAAAATTCAACAAAATTATATCTTTTTTTAATTATAAAGTAAATTTAATTAAAAATTTAAATATATATTTTTTGAGATATAAAAATATATTTTCTTAAAAATAATTACAAAATTAATTAATAAAATATTTTTTGTTTTCCAGATCTTATATAATATGTATATATGTAGAATTTTATAAATTTTTATGAAATTATATCTAAAAAATTAAATTCCAAATACATATGGTGATATTTATAATAAAACAAATATCTTTTAATATCTAAATATTTTATCTTTCTCTTTCAACTGTACATTTCAAAGCTTGCATACAAGTAATTTTGAATTGTATTGAGCTAATCAAAATATTGTTATTAAATTATTAAATTAATATTTTGTTATTAATTAATCTTTTGGTATTTTTGTTATATTTGAATTATTTTGGAATTCCTCACTTAAATATATCATAATTCCTTTTTTGTGAAAAGAATAAAGTGAAAAAGTCTTCATTATTTTTGGTAATATTATTTGTTTGGCTCTGAAATGTATAATACTAATATAAAGAATTAGAATATTACTTTGAAATAGAATACTATTTATTTTATTTCCCTTTTATATTTTATCACATTTTAAACTATACAATTGGCATAGAACTAAGATATATTTTCTTTATTACTTTTTGCTTTGTTTAATTTCCTCTCCCAACCCTTGTTCATGTTAATTAGCTAATTTCACAATTAGTGAAAAATATGTAACAATATATAACAAAATTAATTCAATAAAAGAAAAGAATTTCAAGACACATTTCAGATTCTGAAAAAAATAAAATTATTATTCTTTGTTATTAAGCAAAATAAAAGAGGCTTGATTGAATAAATCTTTGATAGAAACTGGAATTCAAAATCTTCAATTTGAACAATAATCAAAAACTGATTTATAGTATAAAACGATTATTTTAAAAAGTCAGATTAAACAAAAGCTAAACATTTCATTTCTTTGTGAGAATACTATTAACGAAAAGTCTCATACATGCATCTTAAATAAAAAAAGAATGTGTTCTCTTTCCATGATGTTATATTTTTTCAAAATATTAAATTTCGTAAATCGTTATTTTTATTTTAAGGTTACTTTGTAGCAATGAACAATTCATTTTATTTTTATTGGCGTTCACGCACTGTAGCACATATTCACACGGCGAGTCATTACTCCGAAAAGAGAATGGCATGTATTGCTCAGGAGTAGCTCTTCAACGGCAAAAACCATGGCATTACGACACTTTAGTGGTTGACGTCGATGTTCGGCGTTTTTGACGGATGACATTTCAGATCGTGTAGTACTGATTATGGAACAGCTATTGTACTTTAACGATGACAATGGAGCTATCAATGGACAATAGTGGAGCTTTGAGGTTTCAGTGAGATTAATGATATAATTAATTAGTAGTTGGAATTGTTCATATTTTATAGATCATAGAATTTAGAATGTAGTGTGGCGTTTTCTTCTTTTTCGTAGATTTATCTTCGTCATATCGTACGAATACATTATTCGTTACTTTGATGGGACGTAAGGGTAGTACATATTTACGTCATAGTCGTAGTGGCCTTAGAGACCAGCAACCCTATTGGTGACTGTTTCTGTTTGGTGGTTGGAATAATGGTAGGAATAGTGGTAATGTAACAACAACAAGCATTTACGATTGGTGAAATAAATTTAGATTTCAAACCAATTACAGAAATGAAAATTTTTATATACATGTACGTTGTGCCTCAGCTCACAACTGGCCTCAGATCACACCACACGTGCTCATTTTCGGCTAACATTAACCCATCTCCTAGCATTAACGTTAACCCAGACCCTAACTCTAGTAATATCCCTATCTTAATTTGGGCTGAGGCACAACATATATAAAGATCTGCATTCAAATTACTTAACCGATTAAATTGTGGATAAAAACAATTTTCGTCTAAATACTTCAAAATTGTGATCAATTTTATCAGGGTTGACTCAATGTTAAATTTGATAAAACATTTGTGAATTAAACCGAGAATTAATTAATATATATTAACGCAGTACTAACTCTTGTGATCGGAAAAAATTGTCTTCAGCAAGATTGCTTAGGAATATAAAAACCATTACATTTAGCTAAACAAAAGCTATCACCTTACATAAAACTAAATTTTAAAATATTTGATTAAATTCCAAGTATTTAGATAAGAATTACATCAATTTAAATCAATACAAATAGTTATTTTGTTAATTTAATAAATATTGAGTCAAAAAATTAAAATTTTAAAATATTTGATTAAAAACCCAACATCTAATCTTTTAACCAATATAATTTGTGATTATTGTTTTTTGGGCAGTAATATACAATAATTTTGAGAAATTATTACGCTAAACCGAGTCCGTAATTCGAGGTGTATTATTAACTTGCTCCCACAAATTAGACAATAGACTCGCTATCTCTGAATCCCTCCAAATTGCTCTCTACGTCTTCACGCTCAATTGAATTCTCTGTCTGTAGCAACTATGGTGCTTTCTAAGCTGATTTGTCTATTTAAAAAATTGTAATATAATACCTATCGATCAATTTAATGGGAGCACAAATCTTAAGAACTAGAAGTTTTTTATGCCACTTTTATTAGAAAATGAATTAATTAATGAATATCACGTCAATTTTTACATGTATGCAGTGTATGCAACTTTTAATCAAAATTATTCACTCGATTTCAAATGAAGAAAGTGGATTTATCGAATAGAATTATATAATTACTTATGTATGCATGTTAAAATTACTATTAATAGATATACACAAATAATGCAACAACATAAGCGCTTATCAGTTCAATTATGAAATACGCAACATAAGCGCTTATTACGTACGTAGTTCAATTATGAAATATGTAACATAATTGCTTATTAGTTCAATTATGAAATATGCAACATAATCGCTTATTAGTTCAATTATGAAATATGCCAAGAGTAAGATTCATATTTTGATTCTTTTCACTTCTTAATTTTTTACGTTGTGACATACCTACATACTTTACTTATTTGCATATTCCATCCTTAGTTTTAGCCAAATTTTTCGAATGAATAAACAAAAAAAAACTTCTCCTTGTCAAGTTCAATCCCAATCCTTATTTATCTGTATATTCATAGAATCTGAAACCAACAATATAAAATACGACAAACGATTGTATCTATTAGCACAATCACAACAACCACAAATAAATTTCGCATGCTGTAGTATGTGTTGATCAAATTAATACATATATGTATGCGTATTTCTGTGTAGCTTATCGATTCACTCATTTATGCATACCAAGTATCAAATATAAATAACAGAATACGTACTATAATATAATTTTACCAATAACGATAATGATAGTACATGTATTATCAAATACTTTTTTATTTTATAATAATAATAATAATAATAATAATAAATTAATAAATGAGAAAAAAAAATTGAATAGAACAATAAGAAGACTAAATAAAGCAAATTTTTATTTAAATGGAAACGAAGAAATTTCTTTTCTGATTTGAATGTTTCCCTTTTTTTGAATTGTTTCTTAATAAACTTGTATATATAATGTCATCATTATTGGACTTTTGTATTCTGTCAACATCCGCTTCAGGTTCTCTTTTTAAAGATTACGTATTTGCAGATATAAGTAATAATCATAATACCTCCACTGTTGATTCCACTACCGTCAACGCTAATATCCCATCAACTATAACATCATCATACAACACACTGAATCCCCAAATCACCGTCAATTCTTCCTCGACTGTTACAATTTACGTAGACACTCCACGAAAAAGATTTATCGCAAACTCGGAAATTTTATCAGCTAACTCAGCGTATTTTTGCAGCGTATTCTCAAATCAATGGACGTCAGATTGTTATAATCGCGAGCAGAATGGAAGCATTTATCTTGAATTGCCAGATATTGGATATAAGGTTTTTGAAGTTATATTAAGGTGAATAAATATATGTAACTCGACTCATAAATTACAATACTAACCACAAATATTTACGATTTCTTTCAGTTTTATAAATGATAGATCTTTGAATTTAGAAAACTACGACATATCTTTTACCCTCGAATTATGTCTAACAGCCAATAAATTATATCTACACAATCTAGTCTCACTTGTTGAATCATATTTACTAAACACAAAAGTAGCACTAATGCCGAAAAACTTGAATCTACTACTTGGTTGGACATTCATCTACCGTCAGCAATTTCCAAGTCTACGATCTCGCATTATACAAAATATGAATGTTCAACCGTGGAAATTAACAATTCAGAAAGTTTCTCAATCGTTAGAGGAATGGGTTTTACACGAATTGCTTACGGATAAAGAACAATGCATAAATGAGGGTGTGCTTTGGGATATTATTGTTAAATGGTCAATCGCACAAAATGATTTGAAAGCTTATATGAAAGCGGATGAATGGACGCTGGGAGAGTGTCAAAAGATAAAAGACAAGATAAACAGATTCTTGCATTTGATTAAATTTTCGGATATTTCAAGAAATGATTTTATGGATAAAGTTTTACCTTATAAAAGAATATTAATGGATAATGATGAATTGATAAGCAACAATGATGCATTAAACTATTACCTAAATGAACAATTTATTAACAAGAACGATAGTGGTAAATCATCTATATTTTTCTCTCGATCATCGAGTCTAATGTCCTCGTCAGCATCGTTGAAACTTAAAATTCAAGATTCCGTGATCATAAACCACACACACGCCACACAAATTGCAAAGTGGATTCTCTCAGCAAAATCATCCAAAAGAAGTTCCCTTGCAGCTACGACCACAAGCGACTCAAAAAAATCTTTATTTCGATTCACAACTCGTCGTTCATCAACAGATAACATAAAACCACCACAATTTTATTTCAAATTATTGTATCGGAAAAGTGCAAATGCATTTATTAGTTATCATACGAAATGTGATAATCAAGGGCCAACTGTAGTTGTGGCTAAAGTACACGGGAAAAAGACTGTGGTTGGCGGCTATAGTCATATTGGATTGAGCTCAAATCATACGGAGATTGAAGAAAATCTAGAAGCTGCGAAAATGGGATTTATTTTTGGAATGGGAGAAGAATCAACTTTAAATAATTATACTAATTATAATATCAAAGACAATTGTACAATTTCACGAATTCTTCGAGGTCACGCTAAATACTCGGTGCGAAACACAAAAAATGGTCCATGTTTTGGTGTACATGATCTGGAATTAGATATCTGTGATAAACCACAAAAATGCCGTGCTTCTCCGTCGTGTTATGAACAAGCGGTATTAGACGTGAAGGAATTTACGATTGATGAATGTGAAGTGTTTCAGGTTTTAAGAATTTGATTCGTAATAGGGATTATAGTTTGGCTTTAAAAAAAACATTTATGGACACTGCTTTGGATTTTTTAATTTCATTTCATTTGTAAAATAAATATCGATGAAAAAAACTAAAAAGTCACAAGATTAAAAATAAAAGTCATATAACGATAAGAACAAATAAAAATAAAAACGTCATGAGATTTATGAGAAATACACAAGCGTTCGATTTTTTTATAATTCAGATATCTTATTCAACGAAATAGTTCTCTCGTCAGACATTAAACTCAGATTTGCACGAATTTAAAACACTAATATATGTGCTAAATAATACATGGCAGCTTTGGATTATAGAATTCGTCCCTCCATATAATTACTCCCACGGACCAGAAAAAGTGTGATTTAAAGAGATTGTGGTCAAATTTCCTATGGTGCATAAAATCTAAAGTCATCAAACGTTTGTATTTTAAAAAATGTTTAAACTTCCTTACTAAGAAGTAAATACAAAATTTAATCCGTGAATATGCTCAGAAAAGGCCTATTATATCATATTCACGGATTAAATTTTGTATTTACTTCTTAGTAAAGAAGTTTATACATTTATAAAATACAAACGTTTGATGACTTTAGATTTTATGCACCATATGCCTCATAATACTACGTATATAGATATATTGAGTGTCAAAAGTTATCGCTTTAGCATAAAAAAATAAAATGAATATAATTGAACAAAATGAATGTAAGCAAGGGCTCAATGTGAAATTAAAATTACAATTCGAGCATTTTATGATATAGGACATCTGGTTGCTGAAATTCTGGCAAGTATTACGTCGAGAAAAGGGATATAAACATAAAAGAAATTCTTGATATAAAAAATATTTCAAAAATAAATAACATATAAAAAAGTTACTCGAGAATCGCTTGATACGTATAACTATAAAAGAATTTTTTGGATACAAAAACTTTTATATTGAGTAGTCATTTCCTAAAAAGCAAAAGCTATTTGCTTGTTTATAATAATTTACTCTATTACTAGTATAACAATTACGAAAAATTCAATTAAAGAATTATTTGGATTTCTTTGTTTTCAAAAAATTGTTCAGATATCTTTAAATAAAATCTTTGAAGTAAAACAAATATTTTTTCTACTTGTTATTAATAAAAAATAATAAATTATGGTACGGTGCAAAAAGGTTCGTACACCAGATTAAAATTAATAAAAAATTTTCCACCAAATTAACTTGCGATTTTTTTTTAATAAATAAAAAGTGTATGTTCTGGGAACCAATTTAATATAATTTTATTTCAAAGTTAATCATTGTAATCAGTGCTACTAGCATCAGATAAGTCGTGATCAGTTTCTTCATCTAATAAAATTACATATTCATTAGATTCTCTATAATCTTTTGCTTTTTCAAGTGCTCTTTTCCAAATCCAAGAATTATTTTTGAATTTATCTTTTCTTGGAAAACATATAGAAGCTTATTTCTAACAGCCAAAAGATCTGTATGTGGTCCCGATCTTGCTACCTCACCTTTCACAATCGCCCAGATACCCTCAATCGGTTGAATTTTGCAATGATATGGAGGAGTGAAAAAAACCTGGTGACCATACTTCTTTGCTATTTCCACAGACGCAAATGGTATTTTTTCTTTGTTTTTTTGTACTAGTTCTAAGAGTTCTGGCTTCTGTAATCCAATAGAAAAGGCAATACTATGATTGGTTAACCAATTAATTATCTCTACTTTTCTTGTACTTGATGTCGGAATACTTTCAATATGTCGTTTGTGATACTGTGCGCCATCCATATGAATATCTACTACATCATATTTGGTTCTAATATATTGGCAAAGCTTTTCGAAAAGGTTCTCAAAAATCTCAGTGTTGAAATTTCCATGGTAATCAACTTGATTGGGAGTGATATTGGTATTTTTAATCACTGCTGGAATGTCTTGCCATGCTTCTGCATTACGTCATTTTCATCTCCGGCTTCCTGGTAGTTTTATCGCTGGATCACAAATATAAACAGAGTTGGGAATAAGCTCACCATGTAACTTATTAGTATCGCCATTTCTAAAAATAATAATAGCTCCAAAAATCACTAACAGTAATCCATGTCCTTGTGTTAAAACAATATCACGGTGCGGAAGCCAAGTGTTTGGTGAAGTGTGGTGCAAGTGACAATATGATTCATCGAGAAAAACTTTTGGACAGTGTGGAACATTGTTGTTACCTTCTATGTTGACAAACTGATAACAAAGATACTGACAATGAAAAGATACATTATTTGGTGACTCGTGAAGTATATTTCTTCATTCTCCCTGACCGTAATAGTAGCCCAAATGGTGTAGGATACGAAGTAGTTTTCATTTTGAAATTACATATCCATGCTTAGAAAGGAATGCTAGCAAGATGAGTGTAGCGAGTTGTTTAGTTATCTTGTTGGCATCGATGATTTTTGCACGTAAAAAAGTGGTGATGTTTTTGTCAGGCTGTAATTTAGGTCGTCCAAGATTTTTGTGCAATGAAAATTTACCATCATTGCGCTGATTCCAATTAGACACAACAACACCAACTGTACTTTCTGCAATACCCGTAACCATGACAACATGCTTGCGTAATGTGAACTTCTGATGTTGTTTATCTAGTGTGATAGGGTTGGAAAAGTAATTGTAAATGTTGATAATTATCAACTTTTCATTTTCTGTTAACGGAACATTTTGTCATTTTTCTCGAGAAGCAAACATTGAAAAGCAACAAAATTTGAAAGATAAGTAGGCTTGCACATGTGCTATCAGACATGTAAAAATTGTATGGTCTGGTTTGGTTATGCACACAGATCACTCACAGAAATCCTAATCACTTATTTTCGTGTACGAACCTTTTTGCACCGTATCATATTCAAAGTTTGACAAATTCATATTTAATTAATTGATTATTAAATTGAAGAAATTCATTTCAAAATACTGGATCTTGTAATTTCTTAATTAAAACATACAATGGCAATCAGAAATAATGCAACAATGTCAAAATTTATTAATGAATTATAGTAAAATGCAGCTTTTTCTCTTTATATAAAAGTTTTCAATTTTACTAATAAATATTTTTTATTTTTACATTATAATAAAAATAATATCACATATTTTAATATATATTTTTTTTAGATTTAATCTGATAAAACTATTCTAATTGTATATAAAGTCAATTATTTTTTTTTAATTAAAACATATAAAAAAATAATTAACTTTATATGTAATTAAAAAGCTTTATCAAATTAAATCTAA